TTAATCCAGGAGGATGAAATGAGATGCCTTATTTCAGAGAAGCAACATCTCATTGATTTCCCTTTATGAAATTTAGTTGAAGAAAATTATGAAATCATATTGAGAAACATAAAGAGAGGCCTGAGTGAATGGAGAACTACATATGAAATTCAGGAACAAGCAAAGGCAATGGATGGGGATAAGAGTCAGAACAGTGACTGCCTTTGGGAGGGGTGGGTGTCGACTGAGGAGGGACAGCCTATCTGAGGTGAGGGCAGCATTCTGTATTTTTATCTGAGTGGTAGTCACACACACATAATACATTGATCCAGCATACACTTAAGATTAGTGCACTTTACTCTATGTGTACCATACATGATTTTTAAAAGGAGGGAGAAGGGGAGGAGGAAACAGAAGTAGAGGAGGGAAGAGGAGAAGTAGAAGAAGGAGAAGAAGAAAAGAAAAGAAAAGGATGGAAAGGGAAAGGGGAAAAATGACTGAGAAACTCGTGGAGGCGGTAGAGGAAACCCTAGAACTTGAGTTAAGATGGTGAACTAAGCATTTTAATGTTCTTAAATGCCCTGGAAACTATGGGAAGAGACATCCACAGGCAGAGACGATGGAGCATGTCTGCTGCATGTGATGAGATGGAGTAAAGGTAGACCAACCTGTGATTCCACTAAGAGAAAGGAACGCCTGTGGGGAATGAGAGAAAGTGATGGTCATAAGAAGCCCCTTGGCTCAGAGGGGCAAGGGCAGGAGGCCAAGATGGACCAAGGGGCTGCCAGAGTGGAGTTGGACGGTAAGATTTGCTGTTCCCACTGATTCTGGAAGGTGCTCTGGATGCAGCTGTCAACACAGTGGTGATCCCCCCACATCATCCCCACCCCACCCCACCTCCCACAGCCTTGCGTGCCTAGCATACTGTGCATACCTAAACAAGCTCAGCCATGGCTTACCCCAGCTGATTGCTAACAAAATCTTCAGGCCAATTAGAGAAATAAAGCACTTAACTTCAGACGACTCCAGACAATGCGAACAGTAAATGCAGGTGCGCAGACCAAACTCTGGCTCTTTCAAATGTCTTTATAAGCAAATTTAAATTGAGTAGTTCCCCCCTCCGCCTGCCATATTTCTTTAAATGAGCAGTAAAGATTTGAATAAAGACTCATATAAGCTCCAATAGTTACCCTATGAAAGAATTCAGAAGAAAAGATTTGGGGAGAGTAGATTATAGCACATGAAAGATAGCAATGATTTTTCTGGAAATTGTTGAAAAAAATATGTTGGATAAAAATCCATGAGAAAATTAGCAAAAATGGGATATCCAAATAGCATATTCAGGCAAAAGGAGATGCCAATAAAAATAAAGTCAATTTATGTCACGGAGCTGCAGAAATAATTAGGAATTGAAGGTTCAGGAAAAGGGGCTGAAAAAAGGCAGGTTGTTGGGGAAATAGTATATATAAGGACACCCAGGTCCCTTCCACCATACCCGGAAGTCAGCAAATAGGCTACATGCCACCTGGGCGGAAGGGTTTATTCTGTGGAAAAATTGAACCAGAGTGACCAAAAACAAAAACAAAGAGAAAACTTAGGACATTACTAACAATGGAAGGCAGAGAAGACATGCCATGCTTCAAACAGTAAGGATGAGAATTGAGATCCACTCCCCACCCTGAGGCCTGAGGCCACTTTGCTCCAAAAATGCTGACTTCACTTATCCTCCACCACTAGGAGGAAGTGTTTGCACTGAGAAATTTAGAGTCAAGGCCAACAGATGCTGATATTGGGGAGTTCTCCAATAAAAGAGCCAACTCCCACCCAGTCATCCCAGGAGTTCACAAACCCCAGTCGTCACAGTTCCAGGAGCTTTTCAAGGCTTGACAAGATATCTGAGGAAAGTCTCCACAGTGAGAGACAGCTCAAATCAAGCCAACACCGGAACCAAGGAAACATACAAGTGCAGGGAGCAAATAACAATTTGACCCACTCTCAGAGAGATAAAAAATATTGCAACCATGAAATGAGATTAGGAGGCTATAAAAAACGGAGAGCTCTTATAAACTAAATTATAATAGCTAAAATGAAAAGCATATATTACAAAGACCAGCTGGATGTAAAATTAAGGAAATGTCTCAGAGAATAGAACAAAAAACATTAAAAAGATTGGCTAGTAGGGGAAAAAAAGATTAATCAATCCAGGAAGCCCACAGCCAACTAATAGGATTTCCAGAAAGAAAGCAAATGGCAGAGATAGAAGAAATTATCAGGGAGATCGCACAATAAAATTCCCAGAACAAAAGAACATGATTCTCTAGAATGAAGGGGTCCATTGAGTGTGCAGCACAATAAATAAAAAAAATCTCCACTAAGAGTCTAAATTGTGAAATTTAGAAGACCTAAAATAAGAGCCCAAAAGCCGAAAGCAACAGCAGATCCCATTCAAAGATGGAGAATCAAATAGCACTGTCCTTCTCCACAGCAATGCTGAAACCCTGTAAAATCTCCCTGTGTCTCTCCACACCACCCATTCATAATTTCACGTGCTCTCTCTGTATTTTCTGACTCCACAGTTACTGCCTGAATGCATGGTGCTGTGGCTTCTACCCCAGGTTCTGTGCATTGGAAACAAAATGTCTTCTGATCTGTTTCCAACACGGCCTGAGACTGCCCAATATGCACAATAATGGCTCATTAGTTCCACTGCCTTCTTTGCTGCATTGTATGTAATTGGTAGTGCAGAGCCTATCACCCGATGAATATGTTTAGTGTCTGCACCTCCTCCCTTTCATAAGGGGAAATGCGTATCCTCAACCTTTCCACTGTGGAGGCCATCTGACACTTTATGGTACTTTTCTATTGAAAAAAAACACACACACACAAAAACAGGGGTGGCTGGGTGGCTCAGTTGGTTAGAGCATATGCTCTTAAAAACAAGGTTGCCAGTTTGACTCTCGCATGGGATGGTTGGCTGTGCCCGCCCCTCCCCCCCTCACAGCTATTAATAGATTGAAAACAGCAACTGGACTTGGAGCTGAGCTTGCACCCACCACAACTAAGATTGAAAGACAGCAACTTGACTTGGAGCTGATGGGTCCTGGAAAAAACATACTGTTCCCCAACAAAGTTAAAAAAAAATGTTTAAAGAGCTAAAAGTAGGAATAGAAAATATATTTAAAAACAAACAACACAAAACTTGTGTTTCATTCTTGCTAAGTTGGTATTTTCATTTTTAGAAGAACTGGGTGTCACCTGTGAATGTGGAGCGTGTACCATGCATTCTTTTCTCCATGTCATTTGTAGAGCCACTGATAAAGACAAATTCCATTGTCTATTTTTATGGGATTCTCCTTTTTACAACTCTTCCATACACAGGCTATGTTTATGACCTATTTCTGATTGATAATAATTAAAAAAAAATGTGTCCTGACTGACTTGTCATGATTGGTGTTGACTCTTGTCCACAGTACTTTGGAAGTCTGAATCGATTATATCCATTGGTTTCTCCTTAAAGATCTGTTTTATATTGCTCAAACAATGTTAGCTGGCAAGTCAAGAATGGCTTCTTGGGCCGGCCAAGTGGTGCGTTGGTTAACAGCTGGCTTGGGACGCCAGAGGGCCCTGGTTCTGATCCCACATGTGAGGGCCAGTGACACTGCCCTCTACAGCTAAGATGCTCAACAACAGCTCAACCCGGAGCTGGGCTGCCGTGAGTCGCCAGCGATGGCATAGGCTGCAGCCCCTGCTGCTGTTGGTTGCCATAAGCTACCGTGTGTGTAGCCAGCAGCCAGCGTGAGCGGCCATCCAGAAGCCGGTGACTGATCTGCCTCTCCTGGGAAGAGCGCAATGATGGTGCCAACTTGGGCCAATGAAGCAACATCCCCCACAACTAGACTGAAGAACAAAAAGGACAGCAACTTGTCTGTTCCCCTTCCCCCAATTCCCCAGCGCTGTTCCCATCCCCCAATTCCCCAATAAAAATCTTAAAAAAAGATTTCTTGTTTAAAAAAAATTCTTCATAATTTTTTAAACGTATTAACTGTTTCTGTAACAAGTCCATCCTTTATTATAAATCCTCCTCCGTGTGGATGTGAGAATCAGCAGAGTACCATTGTCAGGGTCCCTGACCGCTCCACACTCCACCTGGTGCCCCTCTCCGCTTTGCACAGCACTCACAGTGGCATCCACTCAGCCCATGTTTGTAGTTATAGCTTATATATTTTGACAAATGATTTCCTAATTTTATCTCTGAGTTCCTTCAAAATCTGAGATAAATATCACCCTGATGAAATGACGATATAAGCACATTGAGTTTGCATATCAGGCGAGCCTAGTTAATGGCAACCCCCTAAAAACATATCTGTAAATCAAACATCTATTGTCCAAGGGATAAGACTCATTGAGGCTCAGCTTGAATGTGTTCTGATGATTGGGGATATACGGAACCCACCAAACTCCTGCACAAGAGTGCAATAATCAGAGTCAGGTATCATTCCAGAGTCAAATCTGAACACCCCAATCTGACACGCCTGCACCCCACAGCTTGTGTTTGTGGGTCTTCCCATTCCTGCCCCTGCCTCCATTTCTGCCATTATTCCCAACCCAGACCATGAGCGTCCCTACCTCTTTGTACTTGAACACAGAGCGTATATAACTTGCAGTATTGATCATTTTTATACTGGGTATGTCCTGTTTGCCCAAGTAGATGGGAAGCTACTTAAGGGTGGGTGTCACGTTTCCCATCTCTTTGAAGCCCTCTCACTCAAACTCTGTTTCATAAAAGTGGCAAAGTGTCAAAATATTTATGGTGCCTACTGTATTTGCCCACACACTCTCTTTTGCTACAAAAGAGCATCTATCTAGTTTACCATGTCTGAATTAAGTAATAACTTACTCATTAGCAAGTGTGAACAATGCCTCATTATGATCCTCAGCGACTCGTTAGGAAATTCACAGTTGGGAGGAATTTAAGGGCAGTTGCTTTGCACTTCTTCCCATGAAACCTTGGGGCTAATAGATGTTTTCTCTGTCCTCTTTTATTTCTTAGAGTCTAACAGGTTTAGGAAAGGTAGAGACCCACAGGGGACATAGTGAGAATGCCAGTAACTCAAGCATAAGAGAAACGGGCTCTTTCCCTTCCGTTTGGTAATGAAGAAAAGAGGAGGCCTCCCACTCACTGAGGGCAGTCACATTAGTGGCTGTAGGTTTTGCCACAGAAAAAACACTCAGCTTAAAAACACCAGGCAAAAGATTTCCCAAATTGGCAATTTGGCAGCAGTACAACGTTGAGGATGCTTTCTCAACTCAGCTGGGAAAACTCAGGGAGGACTGTATTGAGAACAGAGCACAAAACCCCGATAGTTGGTTGGGAATGTGCCAAAGAAAATCAGATAACAGATGAAAGGAGGTTTGTCAGTCACCCCACTGGTTTCAGGGGCATCCTGTGCCGCCTCCAGGAAATGAGTCACTCCTTGCAGAACCTGTCACAGCTCAAGTTTAATCAGCCTCCCAGAAGCTGGAAAAAAAGTATCACTCTGTATTCCCACAAAGATGGGCCTCCTGAGGGCATCAAAGCATAGAGGGAGAGCTGCGGGTTACACAGGTGGGGAGAGAACCTGAGATGGCACCTGTGGAAGGAAAAGAGACACCCACAGAAGAGGGAAGTGAAGCCTGCTGAGTGGCCCCTGGCGAGCTGCTTCCAGGGAAAGAGGTGGTCATTGAAGTCAGAGCCGCATGGAGCTACATGTGACAGGCTCAGGGGCCACCTGCTCTGCTACTCCTCACTGCCAGGCTCCTCATCGCTGTCCTCGCCCAGAGGAAACGCCCTCGTGGACTGCTGGGCTGCGTGCATCCGGGTCTCCATGGGGCAGTCCTGGCCCAGGATTGCCTGCAGCAAGAGGCAGGAAGAGGAATCACTGCACATCTTTAAGCGGCCTCCCCACTCCCTTCCCAGCCAGCTTATCCAAGTCTAGCGTTGCTCAGGAAACCCTCTTTCTGTTTTCTGTACGTACACAGGCTTCCCAAGTGTAGCACCCTTAGTCAAGACAAACATCTGCTATCTTTTAATTGAATCCTAACAGCGGTAGTGCAGGTTACAGATGAAATTGGCTCCACCCCCCATCAGACCTTCTCTTGTTCCTTAGAGCAGCCTCCACATCCATCCCTAACCCACCCAGATCCTCAGGGTGCTTATGCTTCAATAAGGGGAAAGTATCTTCTTAACTAAAATCATATGATGTGGTTCTCTGCCCTGGGGTTTTGATAGTTTAAGACATGACCTGGTAAAGATAATGGCAGAATGAATGAATGAATGAATGAATGAATGAATGAATGTGCCTAGTGAAATTCTGCCTATTTTAGGGAGATCGTTTGGTAATTCACACTTTGCTAGTAACTACGGCAACTACAGAATACCTTTGATGGTCCTTATTTCAACTCTTTACAAACTTCCCATTTTCCTTTTTAGGACCCTGCTTACCTGCCTGGTGTAAGAGAGAAAGTGAAGGGAGAGAAGGGGAAATGAGGACGGGCACAAAGGAAAGATAAAAATGAAGAAGGGATTAGAAAACATGGCAAAGCAGAGAGACGGTTAGGGAGGGAGGAAATAAGAGAACAGGATGAAAAGGAATGAGGGACATGGAAAAAAACAGAAGATTTTTGTTTTAAGTAGTAGTCAGAGCCCCTTACAAGCTTCTCCTCCTTGGCTGGTGGGCTCCTCAGGTAGTAGCAGAGAGGAGCATAGGTGATGTTCACGACCCCGATGATGACCATGAGCCAGGGGAAGCCGATGGCACGCACAATGGCACCCCCAGTGGATGGGCCTGTGAGGAACAAATCAAAATCACTGGTGTTTATTGAGCCTCGATCACATGGAAGACACAACGGGAGGGACAGCAGGTGACCCAGAGGACTCCCAGGGTCAACTATCTCTAGGAGCCTGGGAGGATCAGCCTCCCAGCTTCACTTCCAGCTGGTAAACAGCAGAAAAGGGAGGCTGGGACATCAGGTACTGGGTGCTCCCTTCTCCCGCCACCAACGTACCTACAGCAAAGCCCATGCAGAAGGCCACATCGGCAATGGCGTAGACGCTCCCATACACGGAAGTGTGGCGCAGGTCCACCAGGTGTCCCATGATGGGCATCATAGAGGAATCCACCATGCCTGTGGCCAGAGCAAACAGGATGCCTTCTGTCGGCAACACCCCCAGTCCCCTCCCTGTCTGTGCATTCTCCCTCCTCCTCCCTTTTAGATCACTCCCTTAACCTGCTGTCCTCCACTCAGATCTGGGAGTAAGAGCGCAGATCGCCACACCCATGCCAGCTGCCCTACTGTCTTTCTACAGACCTCCTTTGATCTGACCCGAAGCCATCATTGAGGGACTCCTTATTTCCTTTAAGGGACTTCTTACCTATGGCAAAGCCAAGTCCTGCATTGGGGCCAATGAGGCCAAAAATATTATGAGCCAGAGGAACCTGTATCGGGAAGGAAAAGTTCATCATGAGTCAGCTGGGCCATGTAGGGGCAGCACAGCAACGAAGCGTTTTCACACGAAATGCATTTAGTAAGGTGTGCTCTGTGCCACATATATTTTCTATTTGGAGTCTCACACCTTCTTGTGAAGAAGGCTCTTTACTTCCATTTTAAAGATATGGAAACTAGATGGGTGCCATTTGGTTAAACGCACTGTCCAAAGTTACAGAGCTAACAAGTGGTAAGGTCAAGTTTGAGCTTCAGATTTGACTCCTTTATTACCATAATGGTCCTTTTCTGTTGCATAGACTCCCCTTTCTCTACCCTCTCCACACAGACACACACTTTTGTCCTCACTCTTCACTGATTAGAGGGAGTTTCCTCTCATTTCTGTTAGCGACATCATCCAAAGGTCTAGGCCAAATCCTAACTTGGTAGCCATTGGAGAAAGAAGACAGAGGGGAGACACCAATAACCAATTACCCATAAGCTAGAGGGCAGGTGGTGTCAGCAAGCTTGTGAAACTCACTGTCTCGCCTTCCCCACTACCCACAGAAGCCTTCCTTTCCTCTTGTGCTGGTTCCTTCCCTCCTTCCCTGGGCATCTATCACCCAAACCTGCTTCCCTAGCACACTCACCCCTCAAGGATTTAACCTACCTTTTAGCTGTTAGTGGCTGACAATAATTTGGGGGAATGATTCCTCAAGGGGTATTTATATTTTATCAAGCGTATTGCAGGGGCGGCCAGTTAGCTCAGTTGTTTAGAGCACAGTGCTCATAACACCAAAGCTGCTGGTTCGATCCACACATGGGCCACTGAGCTGCGCCCTCCACAGCTAGATTGAAATGCCTACTTGACTTAGAGCTGATGGGTCCTGGAAAACACACTTTCCTCCCCTCCCCTCCCCCCCAAAAAAGAGTATTGGCCAAGATTTGCTAGGGGCTCACTATATGGCAGACACTGCTGTGGTTTATATAGATTATCTTGACAACCCTGTGTGGTGCTATCAGAATCCTCTCTACACAGATGAGGATACTAAGCATAGAGAGGTGATGTAACTAGCTCAAGGTCATGCGAGCATCAAGTGGTAAAGCTGGGACTGAACCTGGAGCTTGTACTCCTGTTCAGGACCTCAGCCTTTCTTGAGCGCTATACTCCGTGCTTTACAGCCCTGTTCTCATCTCCCTCAAGCCTAGGAGGCAAGTGTGCTTAGGATCCCCACGTGGAGAGGACAAAAGGAAGGCTTAGAGAGCTTGAAGGGGGCTCTTGAAAATGGAGAAGCCCGTCTTTCTTTCTTCTTCTACCAAACATTCTGGCCCTGGAGGTTGAGGCACAGATGACGGTTCACCTCGTGGCTTACGGGGTCCTGTCAGGGCAGGATGAGTGAATGAAGTCCTAAAATGCACCATCTTGCTGGCCCCAGAAATAGATACCAACACAGATTGCTTCATATACCCACACACAGAGCCTCAGTGCTCTGGCTCTAGCGGCCCCGTTGTCCTCTCCCTTTCCTTCCCCACCTCCCTTGAATGGGATGCCTGGTGGCATCTCTCCCAGTGCTAAATTCCTACGTACGCAGAAATGGTCTTTCTGACGGTCCTTGTCAAGTCAACCCTCTGCTCATTTTAAAGGAAAGTGGTGTTTAAATGTCTGGGTTTCTCTCCCTCAAGTAGACCTTAGTATACTTACACAAAGCAAGCTGGTACCTACTACCACCATGCCAATCAGGGAGCACAGCCACCTGGGAGAAAAGAGCTGTCATCAGATGGAGCTAAGGGGAGAGAACCCTTTGGCCTGTCACCCCATCACCACCTCACTGACTGGTCCTACCACCCCTAATTCCAGGAACCCCTGAGGATGTGAGAAGATGAGCCCATCTCTACGTGATCAGTTTGTACCCAAGTGTGCACTTTCCCTGTTTTTTGCTCGCTCCCATCCCTCCCCTGGCTCCATGCCTCTTTCCATAGCAGAAGCAGAGAAGGTACAATGGGACCTAGTCTTCCTTCCCTTGGAAGAAGAACCAGTTGACTGAGCAGGTACTTGTCCCCTGGGAGTAACCCCGAAACTTAATTCATCCTGTTTCCCAATTCAGGCTACCTCTCCCCGTTCATATTTTATTTGGTCTTCATGGTCCACCACAAAAACCACACAACACACAAATATCAAACTTCTTTCCATTGCTGATTTCTTATAAAAGTAGTTTTTAAACTTATTTTAAAAATTCGTATGCTGAACTCCAAAGATAAAATTAAGGCTCTTCTCATTGTAGCGGAGGAACAGAATCCAGACTCATGCCTCCTAGTCCCCACCCCTTGGTGGCCTCTGAGGCACCTCAGTAGAACTCCCTAAAGCTCCATGGAACACAGTTTGACAACCACTGCCCCAAAGTACTTTTTTTCATACATGTTCTCTGTGGGGTTATTTTATCTCTTCAACTGGACAACACACATCTGGAAAGTAAGGGCTGCCCCTCAAATAGTCACTGCCTCTTCAATCGCAGCCAGCTCAGGACCATGCTTTCTCTACACTGGCTTCACCACGTACCCACCCCCATCCTCCCATTGGACAGTTTTTATCCATGGGTACTTGCCCTCAACCTTCAACCTCAGGGAAACTGTTCATCATCCCAGGTGTAGAGACAACCTCCAAAGACTCTCCCACCTTATATTCCTCTTGCTCTTCCCAGACCCCCAGGCTACATACCGACCCATTTTGTTGGCCAACACACCAAAGAGGTTGGTGCCAATGAGATAGGACACGCTGGCAGGCAGGAAAGCTAGACCTGTAGAAAGACAAAGGTTCACACCTTAGGACACGCCCTGTTTACTCTAAAACACCTTATTTCCTACAGGACAGTGAAGTCCCCCCAATACCTTCAAGGATTGCAGACCACTTTGTTTTGTGGGTTGGAGATCCTTGTGCAAACCCAGAGCTGATAACATGGGGTCCCATACCTCTGCGATCCTCAGGAGCAGTGCTTTGTTTAGCTTCGATACATTTAATGAGCTTCCAGCCCCCACTTAGACTTCCTGATGAACGGTCCTAATGAGCCATTCTCATGTATAAAATATCCTTGGCTATCAGCATAAGAACATGAGCTTTAGAAAAAGACATATATACTTCCTGGGAAGTAAAATCCTGCCTTGCTCTTTACCTGACCTTCTATTGCACAGGTCGTGACCTTGGATAAGTTACTAAGCCTTTCTGAGCTTTGGTTTCCACATCTGGGAAAAACAAAGCTATGATTATGTCATAACAGTTTATAGTGAGGAGCAACTTAGACAGCATATGTAAAGTATTTTGTAAACTGAAGCCCTGGTCACACTATTTTCTGTGACAACCGAGTCAGGAGCTCTGGACTGTATTGGGCTGTGGGGCCCCACAGTTCAGGATTCACACTGTGGTTTGGCCAATTGTTAGCTCTGTGACCGAGGGCAATTTATTTACCCTCTCTGAGTCTCATTCATCTGTTCATGAATTTAGTACTTTCATCATGCTTTTACTATGTGACAGGTATCCTAGGGGCTAGGAATAGAAGGGTGAATAAAATAGACAAAAGCCGGGGCAGCCAGTTAGCTCAGTTGGTTAGAGCACAGTGCTCATAACACCAAGGTTGCCGGTTTGATCCCCACATAGGCCACTGAGTTGAGCCCTCCACAACTAGATTGAAACAACTACTTGACTTGGAGCTAATGGGTCCTGGAAAAACACACTGTTCTCCAAAACACACTGTTTGTTGTTTTTAAAACTACAAAAACCCCCCCAAAGATAGACAAAAGCCTAGTCCTTGGGGAGCTTATATTTAAGGGGGAGGGAGACAGACAATAAACACGTAAACAAATAAGTGCAAAAGATAATGTTGAAAAATGATAAGTTCTGTGAGGAAAATGTAGTGTGGTGATATGGCAGAATGACCAGGAATAAGGGCTAACTTAGATTTGGGGCTTGGGGAAGGCTTCTTTGAAGAGGTGACATTTAAGGTGAGGCCTGAACAATCAAAAGAGAGCTTTCAAGCAGAAACAAACAAACCCCCAAAACAAACACCTAATGCAAATATAAAGGCTTTAAGAAGAAACCACTTAGTCTGTTCTAGGAACAGAAAGGAGGTCTGTGTGGCTGAAACACAATGAGCAAAATGGAGAGTGATAGAAAACGTACGACTGGAATTTGGAATTTATTCCAAGTGAAATGGGAAGCCTTGGAGGGAAATTACATATTCTGATTTATATTTTTAAAGTCGCCTAGGTGTGGTTAAAAGAATGGCTTCACAGGACAAGAGTGGAAGCCAGAGGACCACCTGAAGAGCCCAGGAGAAAAGTGCTAGTGACTCAGAAGTCACTACGGAGAGAAGTGAATAAAATGGGAGCTATTTTGCAAGTAGTGCTAGTGGAATTTTCTGTTGGATTGGGTGTGAGCATAGTAGGCGTGGGGGAAAAGAGGAATCAAGGATGACTCCCAGATTTTTGTCTTAATCAGTAGGGTGGCTGGAGATAAAGAAAAACCTTGGGGAGATCGTGAGAGGTTTGAAAGGACTATTAGACATTCAGCTGGAGATGCCAGGCAGTTGGGTGCACAAGTCTAGAGTTCCCAGGGCAGATCCTAAACACAGATATAAACATTCAACTCAGTGGTTTATACATAGTTCTTACAGCCACGGGAATGGCTAGACTCATCTAAGAAAGATGGGATGGAGAACAAGGTCTGAGCCTTCAAGGACTTCTATCTACCTAAGGAGAACTGACTCTGGGTAGTGAACACACAATGTGATATGCAGATGATGTATTACAGAATTGTACACTTGAAACCTAAGTAATTTTGCTAACCATTATCACCCCAATAAACTTTAATTTAAAAAATTAGCAGAGGAGGAGGATATTGCAAAGGGGAAAAGGAGCAGCCAGTGGAACAGGTGAGGGGGGTGCAATCTACAAGATAAAAAACAAACAAGGAGTTTGGCCTTTGATAGGAGCTGAGGCGCCTCGCCTATAAAGAGAAAGCAGTGATGTGGGTATAGGTGCAGGGAAATGAGGTGTTTTTAATGATGGGAACATGTGAGTTCCCTTCTCCTTACTTCTATTTTCTCAACAACTAGGAGTTGAGAATGATGAAGGTGAAGAGATAAGGGGGTATAGGAGGTCTGAATGGAGAAGTATTACATAGTCATTTTGAAAAGTGGGAAGGAAAATAAGTCAGACTGAGAAAGACAAATACCATATGATCTCACTTATATGTGGAATCTAAAGAACAGAATAAATGAGCAAACAAAACAGAAACAGACTCATAGATACAGAGAACAAACTGATGGTTGCTAGGTGGGAGGGAAGTTGGGGGGATGAGTGAAAAGGGTGAAGGGATTAGGAAGTACAAATTGGTAGTCACAAAATAGTCATGGGATGTGAAATACAGTATGTGGAATATAGTCAATAATATTGTAAAAACTGTGTATGGTGTCAGATGGGTACTAGGCTTATCAGAGGACCACGTCATAAATTATATAAATGTCTAACCACTGCACTGTACAACTGAAACTAATATAAAATAATTTTGAATGTCAACTATGATTATGAAACTATATATACATGCATGGTCACCGGATGTAAAGTACAGCATAGGGAATATAGTCAATGTATTGTAATAGCTATGTATGGTGTCAGATGGGTAGCAGACCTGTTGGGGTTATCACTTTGTGACTTGTGTAAATGTCTAATCATTATGTTGTTTTGTATACCTGAAACTAATAATTTTAAAAAGCCAAAAAAAAAAGAAAAAGAAAAAAGAAAGTGGGACTTATAGAAGGATTGTTGGACAGTGTAAAAACCTACTTTAGTCAACTATAATTAAAAATAAAATTTTAAAAAGATTATAGAGGGGCTAAAAACAAAATGAAAAACAAACCTACTTTGGATTTGTGGTCATAAATCTAAGGTGAGACCCAGCCTGGTTGTGTGTTTTTCTACAGTCCCATCACACTGCTTACATGCAGACAAGGAGTTGACAACCAGATAGGCTTAACCAGCATCAAAGCTTTGCCAGGTGACAACACCACGGGGAGAGCATCAATGCTTTCAAAGGAGTGACATTAATAATGGACTTGGATTCATCATGATGGAATCCAAGCTGAGTAAAGAAAGAAGTGAAGATGTGAGTAGTGATGGAAGTAGAACCAGAACTGAAGCCAATGGATTGGTAATCTCAATGTAGCCAAAATGTGTTGGTATGGAGGTATTAGAATACCTGAGCAGGGAATATGTAAGGTGATAACTAGAGTGCTTAGAATTGAGGTTTCAGAGGTGATACAATTAATGATAATGTCAAGGTCAAGGTTATATAAAGGTGTGCTTAGTTAAGGTGGAGAGGAGAAAAAGATCATTGCAAGAGAGTAGATTAAGGAATAGGCCAAGATATTGGGAGGTTTATCCACCTGGATATTGACGTCACACACAAAAAATGGTGACAGGAACAGAGGCATAAAGAGCATAAAGAATACATGCCAGGTGTTGACAATAAATGAGAAGGTTACTAAAAGGTCAGTGGATGACTGCAATTAAGAGAGGTGGGTAGTATAATCTAACAATGTGACCTCCAAAGGAGTTGGGGCCTTCAAAGGAGAATGAAGAAGAAATGACCGAGAAGCAGCAAAGGAGAGCAAAATCTGGAAGAACATGGACTTTCCGCCAAGAGGGCTGCAGGAGATGATATTTTCAGGAAACATTCAGGTCTCAGTTAGGGCAAGCAGATGAAGGACGTGTTCAGAGAAGAGACTGAGGGCACTAGGATGCTTGCCCATGACAGGGAATTCCACAGGGCCCAAGGTTTGGGAGGCGATGGGAAAGTGGGTCAGGTTAAGAAGCTTCTGAAATATGGGGATAATAATAATCCCTACTAGGTAGGCTGGTTGTGAGACTTAAATGACATAACGTATATCAACCTTGTGGCACAGTGCCTGGCACAGAATAAATGCCCTCTGTGTACTGGCCTTAACATTAGCATCATAACTGGTAAGAACAGGGTCAGGAATTGGACCCATGCCTTTTCACTCCAACTCCGGGTGTCTCCACCACCTGCACCACCAGTGTGGCAGCACAGATGGCTTTGGCACAAGGGACTGCTTGGAATCAGCAGTGTGAGTTTCTGTGGCTCTCACCAGCCTTTCTGCCTCTCTGTACCAAGAGAAAACAGTGCTGCCTAATAGAAACTGTAGTGACAATTACAGTTAAACCCAAAGTCAACAATTCACCAGTTACTGGCTGATGGCTTGTTTGCTTTTAATATTCTCTTCTGTGGGGTGGAAGTAAAGTATACCTTAGTGACTTTATCTACTTAATCTGTACAGGTGGCAATCTGTTTCAAACTGTACACATTTGTTTATGTTTAATTGCTTTAAAATTTTTAGAAGTTATAGCTATATAACTGTTGAACTGATATCTGGAAACGAGCTCTTCTAGGAAGCCCACTAGCTTTCTATATTATCCTCTTAACTCATTTCAAATGCAGTTTCCTGAATGAGATTTTCCTCAGTGTGCCTTGTTCTTTAGGACCTGGGTATAGCTTGCATTTCAGGGGCATTCTGTGCAAAATAGGTGTTCCAGACTGTATGTCCACAGACATATCTGTACTTTTCACAGCACATCTTCAAGGGGTGGGGATTACACATCCCTATGACTGTCAAAGTGATTTAAACAACAACAACTACGAAAATAGTAATGACTTTTGTTTACTGAGTATATCTTGTATTCCATGCGCTGTGCTAATGAATCCTTTTATCATTCATAGAATATTGAATCCTGAAAAGAACTCTAAAAAGCAACTCCATTTTTATTTTTACAAATGAAAAAAGTGGAGTCCACGAGAGGTTAAATAACCTACCCAGGGTCACAACCAGTAAGTGGCCATCAGTATTCAAACCCAGGTAATACTGTTTTCAAAACCTGAGCTCTTCCTCCACTGGCGGGAGCAGCAGGCATACAGCGGCCTCCAAGAGAGTGCCCAGTCACAGATGACAGTCGCTGTCAAACGCCTCATCTTCTCTCCTCCCAGCACTGAGAGGTGCTCTGCATTTAGAGCAATATTTTTCAAAGTGTGGTCCCTGAGGCCATTGCAGCACCACCAGGGAATTTACTAGGAACGCAGACTCGTTTCACTGAATTGCTGGGTGTTAACAAGCTCTTTAGGCGATTTGGTGGAGAGCAGCCCTGAGGAAGATGGAAAGGACAGAGGAAGACAAAGCCTCCTGCTGCTCTGACTTACTGTCCGAGGGCTTTCCGCTGCAGCTTCCATTGCAGGGAGGACTGTGTGGAGTTACCCTGTGAGCTTCCCCAGGTCTCACCTGCCTATCTGCCTCTCTGCACTGAGAGGAAACAGTGCGAATAGAAACTGTTGTGACCATTACAATGAACAATTCACCAGTTACTGGCTGATGGCTAATTTGCTTTTAACGTTCTCTCCCGTGGGTGAAGAAAGCTGGAGAAGGGCCACTTTGAGCTGAGGTTCCCACCTGCATGGCGGGAGCTTCCGGGCAGGGGATGCCGGCTGCCACGGAGCACACAACTAACTCAATTAATTGTCATGGTCAGAGGCAGCTGCAGCCCAGAAAAATTCAATTTGGGGCTGCGAGACTGGCTTAGAATTGTGCCCTAAAAATTAGATTTAGTGCTTTTCATTGCATGCAGATCCACATCAGGTCCTTATCAGCTTCTTCTCTGGCCCCATAAGCCTTTCCTCCCTGCAGTGACTGAGTGATTTGCACGTAGCCTCCTGTGTCCCTGTCCTCAGGCTTCCTGGATAGGGCCAGTGTCTCCTCTCTAAGGTCAGATGGATCACCAGGACATCTCTCCATGGAGCAGAGGAGGCTGGAGGCCTCTCTCTTGGGCCCAGAGCTCTCCACTGGGGTACAGAGCCCAGCACCTTACCGAGGTGAGGGCTACAGAACAATATATTCCATAAGCTCCTTTTGTAGAGTGAAAAGATAGCAAAACAGTAATCTGGGGGCAGGGGCGTTGAAGAGAGAAAATGCGATGGTAATGGTGGTGCACAGTAATATTCTACAGGTGCAAAGCATTTCCACATAGTAGGCCATTTATCCCTCAAATTACCCTTTGAACTAGATAGTATTCTGATGACTATCTTAAAGATGAGGAAAATGATGCTCAGAAAGTTTCTGCGATTTGCACAGTTTGCGTAGCCAATCAATGGAGCCTAAATGAAAACCTAGGCCCTTTGACTAGAAATCATTAATGGTTCTAGCACATGGGAAGTTACTGCTCTGTAGCCCCCATCAACCCCTCCTACCTTGCCCTGCTCCAGCTGTTTCTATCCACCCAATCAGGCTTGATTTACAGGTGTGAACGGGCAGGTCATTCTTCTACAAAGGAAGCACATTGTCCCTCTGTAATGCTGAAGAACTGGACCTGATGATGTTTCCTAATTACCTAAGAAAGGGCCCATGGTACACACTTCTGCTCAAGCCTGAGTTGAGGACTGAGGTCACTTACCCAGCTGCCACTCAGGGGAGCACATGGTCTGCAGCATCCAGATGGGCAGTGTGGGCTCCAGCATGGCCACTCCCATGTTGGCAAAGCAGAGGGAGCCTGGGGGGAGAGTTCCGTGAGGCACCATGGCTGCCCTGAAGCCCGCACTTTCCCAACACAAGGGGAGGCATTGTCAGCTTACCTGCAGCCACCAGGATATAAGGGTCTCTGAGGAGTGTAAGCAGCGGAGTCCCCTTGGCACTCTGAGAACATGGACAACAAAAACTCCCATTTGTACAGTATATACATCTATTTTCACAGAATCTGAGAATGTACAAACCTGGAATTAGTGCAGACTTTGCAGGGTCAGGGCTCAGCTCTACAATGCTGCCCCACTTCAGATGCCAATCGCAAGTAGGGAGTCCCTAGGTTACCCACACTTTGGTTTGACCTGGCTACAAAATCAAGGTATTTAGCTCAAACTTTCCCATGTTTTTTGCTGTTTTGTATCTTTCTTCATGGTTTGATATGGATTTCTCAAAGCCATCTTTGGCTTGGAGTCAAACAAATACCAACTCTGATATTTAACTGTGATAGAATAACAGTCTGGAATGATGCTTTTGGAAGAGAGGTTGCCTGGATGGTCTCTAAGGGCTTCTCTAGCTCTGAGATGTTATCACTATGAATACTCAGGTCCCAAAGTCATTATCCCCTTCTGGTTCTGAGTTAAAAAAAAATATATATATATATATACACACACACACACACACACATATATATATATATATGTATATATATATATATATATATTTAGCACATGAGTACACACACACACACACACACACAGTCATATGCTGCTGAATGATAAGGATATATTCTCAGAAATGTGTCTTTAGACAATTTAGTCATTGTGCGAACATCATAGGGTGCACAGACACAAACCTAGATGGTATTGCTTACTACACACCTAGGCTATACAGTATGGTATAGCCTATTGCTCCTAGGCTACAATCCTGTACAGCATGTTACAGTACAAAACAACACAAGATTAATTCAAGCACAAGAGAAATTATGCAATCAGGAGACGCGGCAAGCAAGAGGTGTATGAAGCTGCTGCCAGTGTAACCCAGGGTACTGTTTTGCAGCAAACTTTTTTTTTATAAGTAGAAAGAGTACATTCTAAAATAACGATAAAAGCATAGTGTAGTAAGTACATAAACCAGGAACATAGTTGTTTGTTATCAAGTATTGTGTACTGTATATAATTGTATGTGCTATTCTTTTTTTTTATTAGTCTCAGGTGTACAAAGCAACGTAATAGACATTTAAATCCCACATAAAGTGATAACCCACCCCTCAAGCTACTA